TAGCGCATTTCTCAACACCTGCCCCAGAGAGATGTTAATCACGGCACGGGCTCCAGTCTGGGGCTGCTCAGGCCGCGTCCCAGAGCCAGAGAGCGTCCAGCTGAACAGCTGTGGCTTGGGTCCTTCTGGACCCCCGAGAATGCTTCACAGACACCATCCACCACCCGCCACAGGTCTTGGATGAGGTTTTCACCTGTCCCTAGTGAAATGACAACTTTACGGGTTAAGTTGTGAGGTGTTCATCAAGTTAAATTTGTTCCACTCAACGGTTTTGTGGATTTCTTTTTATTTATTTTACTTTTTGTTGTTGTTGAGAATATGCACAGTAGAACATACACCAATTCAACAATTTCTACATGCACAATTCAATGACACTGATTACATTCTTCAGGTTATACAACCATTCTCACACTCCTCTTCCTAATTGTTCCTCCTCCATTAACATAAACTTACTGCTCCCTAGGTTTCCAATCTCATCTCTCAAATTGTTGTTGTCAATTTGATCCCATATAGATAGTTCTTAAAAGAGCATAATGCTCAAGGCAGACATTCTTTCCTCATTAAGCTAGGCTGTTATTTGGTTTAAAGAAGACCTCAGGGATAGGTTTGGTTTAAAGGTTTAAAGATTATCTCAGGGCGATAGTTTTAGGGTTTTTTTGTTTGTTTTTATTCTAAAAAATATGTGCTTCCTATCTCTTTAGTGTTAAAATATTCTTTCTAGATGATGGTGAGAATACAGAGGATTTTTTAAACAAACTCACATGGTGTCTTAGTTATCTAGCGCTGCTACAACAGAAATACCACAAGTGGATGGCTTTAACAAAAAGCAATTTATTCTCTCACAGTTTAGGAGGCTAGAAATCTGAATTCAGGGTGCCAGCCCCAAGGGAAGGATTTCTCCTTCTGTTGGCTCTGGGACACAGTCCTTGTCATTAACCTTCCCCTGGTCTAGGAGTTTCTCAGTGCAGGGACCCCAGGTCCAAAGGACAAGCTCTGCTCCCAGCTCTGCTTTCTTGGTGGTAGGAGGTCCCCCTCCTCTCTGCTTGATTCTCTCTTTTATATCTCAAAAGAGATTGACTCAAGATACAACCTAACCCTGTAGATTGAGTCCTGCCTAATTAACATAACTGCCTCTATCCTGCCTCAGTAACATCACAGAGGTTCGGATTTACAACACATAGGAAAAACACATCAGTTCACAAAATAGTAGACACCCACACGATACTGGGAATCATGGCCTAGCCAAGTTGACACACATTTTGGGGGGGACACAATTCAATCCATAACTCTTGGTAAAGTGGAAAGCTGGCAAACTCATTCAGTCCTCATTTATTTTAATTTATGGATCTATGAACCGCAAGTGTTTCAGAACCATTACTCCAAAGAGTGAAGTGCAAACACTGGTCCCTTTACTCTGACAAAGCCAGGATTCAACCCAGGGCTGTAGGAATTCCATAGTCGGTACTCCTCTTGTAGGGAGATGGAAATCTGAGATGTAGTCCCACCTCAGTAGTTCTGCCACTGAGGTGCTTTGTGACCACGAGGGAGTTACTAACCCTCTCAGAACCTCTGTCTCCTCGTCTCTCCACCACAGTTAATAATCCACCTCTGCCTCTCCCTTTCCAGGTTTGAGTCCCAGACAGTGTACCTCATGCACAGCCACCACCCATCTGTTAGTGGAGGCTTGCATGTTGCTATGATGCTGAACAGGTTCCAACAGAGCATCCAGACTAAGATAGACTAGTAAGAAAGGTCTGGCTATCTACTTTCAAAAATCAGCCAGTGAAAACCCCACAGATCACAATGATCCAATTCTATTATGCATGGGGTCACCATGAGTCAGGGGCCAACTCGGTGGCAGCTAACAATGGCAACATTAACCTGGTACCCAGCACTGAAACAATGTGAGGCTCAACTGCTGTGAATTGATTTAGAAAGTTTCACAGAGGTGAGCAATGAGAGAGGATCCCTGTCAACATTGTTTTGAAACCATAACCCTAAAAGTGAACCCCAACATGTCCACACCACTTTGCCAATTGCCAAGAACTTTCTTACCCATTTTCACATTTGATCCTTGACAAAAACTTCTGAGGTATGGGAGCAGCCATCATTATCTTTGTTTTACGGAGCTGTAGACTGGCTCAGTACAACATCACATCTTGCCCAAAGTCACATAGCAAATAATCATTGTGAACAATCATTGAAGCAGTAGCTAAAATTTATCAAGCATTTACAATGTGCCAGGCAGTGTTCTAAGCCAGGGGTCAGCAACCTACGACCCATAGGTCAAATCTGGCCCACCACATGTTTTTGTAAATGAAGTTGTATTGGAACACAGCCATGTCCATTTGTGTGTGTATTATCTACGGCTGCTTTCATGCTACAGTGACAGAGTTGAGTATTGCAACAGAGGCTCTGTGACTCCCAAAGCCTAAAGTATTTACTATCTGACCCTTTACAGAAAAAGTTTGCCAACCCTGTTCTAAACAGTTCTCATGTCTACTAGTAACCATTTCCAAAGCACGTTTGACAAAGTCTCGCCATCCTTGTTCTAAGGAGCTTGCTGTTTGTATTTCTTCGTTCTTCTGGCAGTCCATGGTATATCCAATATTCTTTGCCAACACCATAATTCAAAGGCATCAGTTCTTCTTCGGGCGTCTTTATTCACTGTCTAGCTTTCACGTGCATACAAGGCGATTGAAAATAACCATTTCAGTGTGAGTTCTAGAAATGAGAACGCCAATGAGCTGGTGCTATACGAAGAAGTCGTAGCATAATCCCTATGGAGAGCCATTCTTGGCATCATACGTTGGCTACTCCCCCCAGGCTGCAGTGAGGGATGTTAGCAAGCCCTTCAAAATGTCAAATGACTCCCGCCAACCCCTAACTGCCATGAGATTTTTACCCTCTGTTTCCTCAACCATTCCCTTGGGGATGCCTGCAGTCACAGAAAATTGGCTTAAGGTCCAGTGTGTTCTCCTAGTCCCATCTCTCTATAGCAGGTCCAACGCTGTCCCTTACACACTCTGTTCACTGATACAGACAAGGCCCATCACAAAATAAATGGTGCACAGGCTCCCACAGGATACACGTATTGGGAGCACCAAAATCAAAAAACCAAACGCATTATCGTCAAGTCGATTCCAACTCATGGCCACCCCAAGTGTTACAGAGTAGAACTACTCCATAAGGTTTTCATGGCTGTAATCTTTATGGAAGTAGATCACCAGGCCTTTCTTCCGCAGCACCACTGTAGCAAGGTAGAGCCCTCATCAGCTGAGTGCCCTTGCAGAAGTGCGGAGACTTGGCAGCTCAGTTGGCCGTGCTGGCTGTCTTCCGCTGTGTGTGTACGACAGCTCTCAGAGCGCCACAGCAAGTGCACATTCACTGTTCATTGTATGTTATTTTTAAAGAAAATACTTTAGGCCAACCGTGTTATCACAGATCCCACCGCAAGGGGTGGTTTTCTATCAGGTTTGTGTGTCTTGTTTCAATATATTGTCGTCGTTGTTGTTGTTAGGTGCCGTAGAGTAGGTTCCAACTCATAGCAACCCTATAGGACAGAGTAGAACGGCCCCATCCGGTTTCCAAGCAGCAGCTGGTGGACTCGAACGGCCATCCTTTTGGTTAGCAGTCGAGGTCTTAACTACTCTTCCACCAGGGCTCCACATTTCAATATGAGTCTCCCCAAACCCTGTGAGACAGGTACCATGTTATTATCGCCACTTGACAAGTAAGGAAACCGAGGCAGGGGGCAGTGACCATCCTGCCCTATGTCACACAGTAAATGAAAGGGCAACAATTGAAATCTTGGCTTCTATCTCAAGAGCCTTGTGCTGAGCCATGTGTTAGTACTTCACCAACTAATGCCAACAAGAGGGATGACTGCTTTTAATTTCATTCCATAATTCCACAGATGCTGTTTTCTAGTAAACTCATCTCCTGACAGCTGAGTAATGGGTGGTTTGCCCCAAAGAGTTTGCCCAAGCCACACATAAAGTTTCCATCATTCAGGCATATCTCTGCTACATTAAAGGCAATTGCTCAGATGGCCAAACAGAAACCCTTCCACTGCAGGAAATTATGGAAAGAAGTTGTTTACACAAGGTCACTTACCTATGGGCTGAGAGGCAGGAAAGGATGGATGAGTTCTGGTCTACGGGTGAAGAGACATGGGCTCTCTCTCAACTCTGTCTCTCTTACTAGCTGTGTGTTCTCGGGCTAGGTTCCTGCCCTCTCTGCAGAAAGAAAAAGTTTAAATGCACGCTCCTCCCGAAGGTCCTTGCCACCACTGATTTAGCACTGAGATTAAGAGCATGGCCTCTGGGGTCAGAGAAACTGGAGTTCAAGTCCTGGCCCTGCCCAACCTAAAGGACCTTGGCTTTGGATAACCCTTCACTTCTCTAGGCTTCCTGGGTGGTGCAAACAGTTGGCACTTGACTACAAACCAAAAGGTTGGTGGTTCAAACCTACCCAGGGGTGCTGGAGAAGAAAGGTCTGGCGAACTGCTTCCATAAAGATTACAGCCAGGAAAACTCTCTGGAGCAGTTCTACTCTGTAACACATGGGGTCACCATGAGTCAGAATCAACGCAACAGCAACAGGTTTACTTCCCTGGGAGTCCCTGGGTGGCACAAACATTTCTACTAACCGAAAGGTTGTCAGTTCAAACCCACCCACCCAGAGGCACCTTGGAAGAAAGGCCTGGCAATCTGCTTCTGAAAATTCATAGCCTTGCAAACCCTACGGAGTACAGTTCTACTCTGCACACATGGGGTCACCATAGTCAGTATTGACTCAATGGCAACTGGTTTGTTTGTTCATTTGTTTGTTTGTTTTCACTTCTCTGAGTTCTAGCTTCCCCGTCTATGCTTAGAAAGATCAGTGCCTGCTCATGGGGCTGAGTGAGCAGAGGTGGGTAAGCATGATGTTCATAAACTGAAAATTATTATTATCGTTATTAAAAGTATTATTTTTCTCTCCTGAGCCTTTGTTTCCCAGGCTCTCTGAGCACAATGTCTGCATCCCCTGCCAGCAACGGCGTGTTTGTTGTCATCCAGCCCAGCAACACCAGCGGCCTCCGCCCACCTCCAGCCATTCTGCCCACCTCCATGTGCCAGCCTCCCGGGGTCATGCAATTCGAGGAGCCACCACTGGGGGTGCAAACACCAAGGGCCTCCCAGCCATCTGACCTGCAGCCCGTGGAGACATTCCTGACGGGAGAGCCCAAAGCTTTAGGGGTAAGAACAGCCTCTCATAATCTTTAACCTTTAAGCCTTAAGCCAAAGCTATCCCCTGAAGTCTTCTTTGAACCAATAGCTTCTCTTAATAAGTAAAGTATGTCTGCCGTGAACATTGGCTCTTTTAAAGAGCTATCTGTGTGAGATCAAATTGACAACAGCAACTCGAAAGGATAGATGAGAAGCTTATGGGGCAGTGAGCTTAAACTGATGGTGGTGGAACAATTTGGAGAAGGATGGTGAGAATGGTTGCACAGTTTGAATAATGTAATCAGTGTCACTGAATTGTACATGTAGAAATTGTTTAAATGGTGTATGGCTGTGTACATTTTACCCAAAATAAAAATAAATAAGTAAAAAGAACAGCCACTGATATGACCTGAGGTGTAGGTACTGGGCAGACAGAGAGCACCCCAGTACTTGGGCATTCATGCACACTTGGTGGTTGGAAGAGCAGATAGTCGACAAATACTTGGTGAGGACCCTTCCCCCATGGAGCTCATAGAGAGCCAACCAGTTAACAAATGACTAAGTTAACTCCAAATGGGTAAGGAAGGAGAAAATGACTGGTAGGAGAGGGGCAACATTAGCAAGGACAGGACTCTCTGGGAGTGTCTTAGTTACCTAGTGCTGCTATACCAGAAATACCACAAGTGAGTGGCTTTAACGAACAGAAATTTATTTTCTCCCAGTTTAGGGCGCTAGAAATCTGAATTCAGGGCACCAGCTCTAGGGGAAGCCTTTCTCTGTCAGCTCTGGAGGAAGGTCCCTGTCTTTTTTCAGCTTCTGCTTCCTGGCTCCTTGGAGATCTCCATATGTCTTGGCATCTATCTTATCCCATCTCTCCTTGCTAGCTTGCGATTAATCTCTTTGATATCTCAAAAGAGACTGACTCATGATATACCCTACACTAATCCTGCCTCATTAGCATAACAAAGACAGCCCATTCCCAAATGGGATTATAACCACAGGCACAGAGGTTAGGATTTACAACACATATTTTGAGTGAACATAATTCAATCCATAACAGGGAGGATGACATTTCAGCTAAAACTCAGATGCTGTGCAGAAGCCAGCCAAGGGACTCTCTGGGGGAATGCATCACCAGTTAGAGGGAAGAGCAAAGGCAAAGACCTTGAGGTGGGAGTCAGGTTGTCTTGTTCAGGGGAGAGACAGAGGGCTAGCGTGGCTGGAAAATAATGAGTGAAGGAAGGAAATGAGATGAAGTTAAAGTGGTAGGTGAGGGCCAGCTCAAGGAGGACTGACAGCCTCTGGCAGGATGGCCTCCAAGAAGTTTTCCAGTCTCAGATGTCATTGAGATATTGGCCTCCAGGAGACAGAAAATTTCATATTTATATATGTACACACACATATATATACATACATAGATATACACACACGTACAAAGACAGGTGTGTGTATATGCACACATGCGCATGCACACACAAGTTTTCCTTGAGTCCATTCTGACTCATGGTGACCCCATGTGTGTCAGAGCAGAACTGTGCTCCATAGGGTTTCCAATGGCTGTTTTTTTGGAAGTAGAAGTACTAAATGCAGCATTCAGTGCAGAGGATGTTGTGGGTCATTGGAATGAGACCTAACAAAGCCATGTAGCAGCTTGAGATCCCTGGGTAACAGCGCAAAGCAGGATAGACCCCCATAGGGAGCTCTGCTTTCTGCCATATAAAAATATATGTGCCCAGAGGGTCGGGTATCAGGAAGAGGACGTTCTCAGAAACATGGAGACAGGCAAGTGGGTCCCATAAGCTTTGAGAAACTGGTTTTCCTTCATAAAACTGTCTTTTATGGTCCCTACCATGACCCCTCCTCAAAAGAACGGAATCTGATTTTGTTTCCGGTCGCCCGGCCTAAATTGGGGAGGGCAGGGCGCTGCCTCGCTCTCCTGCAGCCGGCAGGGGGCAGTGTGGAGCTGTCTCCGTGGCCCGGCTGAGCGCGGCCCTCTCCCTCCAGACAGTGCAGATTCTCATCGGCCTCATCCACCTGGGCTTCGGCAGCGTGTTGCTCATGGTCCGCGGTGGCCACGTGGGAATGCTCTTCATCGAAGCCGGTGTCCCCTTCTGGGGAGCAGCCTGTGTAAGTGCCGCGGCCATCAGTGGGGAACATGCCCAGACTCACCTCTCTGCCTGGGCCCCACCCCACCCCACATTCCTGGACACAGCCCCTTTTATGTGGGGGCCTGAGAGCACCTCTAGAAGAACTTGAAAAAAAAAGTTGCCATAAGTCAATTCCAACTCATGGTGACCCCATGTGTGTCACAACAGAATTGCACTCCATAGTGTTCTCAATGGCTGTGATCTTTCAGAAGTAGATCACCAGGCCTTTCTCCCAAGGCACCGCTGGGTGGACGCAAACTGCCAACCTTTTGGTTAGCACCGAAGCGTGTTAACTGTTTGCACCCTCCAGGGACTCCAGAAGAACTTGAGCCTAAATCTAACCCCAAACTCTAATCAGAAACCTAAGCCTGATCCCACCCCTATGTGTGGAAAGCTCCCGGCAAAGAGCCTGCTGCAGAGAAGCTGCCAAAGAGGGTGGGAGGAAGGGGGTGCAGGTCAGGGATGAGGACACTAACCACCTGGATTCTAAGCCCAAGCCCTCATCCAAACCTGACCTGCAGAAGCCCTTTAGCTCCCCTGGGGGTCCTGGTCCACCATGAGTGGCATCTCCTGGGAGAAGCAGAAGCCTCACTGGGTCACCTCTTCCCCACACAGTTCATCATCTCAGGGTCCCTCTCAGTGGCTGCTGAGAAAAACCACACCAGCTGCCTGGTAAGCCTACACCGGGGACCCCGGGGTGCAGGGCTGCTGGGTTCCCCTCCACCCTGCCCCCAATTCACGCAGCATTCCACAAGCGCCTCCTGGGGGCTCAGCGCCAGATGCAGCAACACCAGACAGACACAAGACAGCCCCATGGGACAAGAGGACCAGAAATGCACTTTTCAGACTACAAGACAGGGTAGGGAGAGAGGGCCCACAGATGACGTACTGATGGTTGTTTAGAGAAAAGAGGCCTCCCGGAAGAGGAAACAGGTGACTGGGGCCTTGGTGGTAGAATCTAGAATTGCAGAGGGAGACGAGAAAGGCGTGGAGGTGGGCCTGGGCAGGGTTGTTACGGGAAACTATCTGTGTTTCCATTCGGCCAGAGCAAAGGTCTGGTAAGGGAAGAGGAAAGAAATTTGATGGAGAGATGAGCAAGGGCCAGATCACAGAAGGCTCCAGTGCCTTCTGCTGGCAGTGGGGAGGTGGTGGAGGCCTTTGAACAAGACAGTGCCAGGCTTTGAGAACATGACCCTGAAGGCCAAGGTCCCTGCCCTCATGGAGGTTACACTCTGGTATCTGGTGAGACACCCAGAAAACAAACTAACAAATGTGAGAGGGACAGAGCATGGAAAGTGCTAGAAGGATGCACTGTCTTCCTTTTTAAGAGAGGGCCATCAGTAGGGTGCAGAGGGGCATGGGGTCCTGCTTAGCTCAGACGACTCAGAGTCTCTGAAAGCGTGTCGCTGAGCCAAGACCTCACTGTTCAGACAGCGTCAGCCCTGGGAGAGGCCGGCACCATGTGAGGATTAGCCTGGGGCGAGAGGGGCCTCGGGACAGAGAGAGCAGGCACTGGATTAGCACAAATAAAGACGCAGTGTGGCAGCAGAAAGATGGCGTGCAGAACTCAAATTCTAGTAGGAAGACCAGACTTCATGGTCGGACTGAGACTGGAGGAACCCTGGAGAGCATGGCCCCTGGACTCTCTATCAGCCCAGAACTAAAACAATTTCCGAGGCCAACTCTTCAGACAGGGATTGGACTGGACTGTGGGACATAAAGTGATACTCGTGAGGAGTGTGCCTCTTAGTCAAGTAGATACAAGAGACCAAAGGGGCAGCTTCTGTCCAGAGGTGAGATGGGAAGGCAGAGAGGGTTAGGAGCTGGTTGAATGGTCATGGGGAATCAGGGGCAGAAACGAGGGGTGTGCTGTCGCAGAAATGGGGTGAGCAATTAGGGTCTCAAAACAATCTATGTATAAAATTTTGTATGGGAGACTAACTTGAAATGTAAACTTCATTTAACTACAACAATTAAAAAAAAAAAAAAAAAGAGGCAGAGTGGGAGAAGAGGAACTGCAAGGGGGAAGATGAGACTAATAGCTCAGGGCCCAAATGCCAAATGGAATTTATTTTAAGGGCAGTTAGAGGCCACGGAGGATTTCAGCAGGCAACCCAAGGTCTCAGAACTTTCCTACTCTTGTCTGAGACCTCATGGAAATGGCCTCAGTGCTTCTGCCACCAGCCTCAGTGTCTAAGCATAGGGCCTCCCTGGCCCCCTGCCCCTTGGGCAGGTGTTGCTAGGAACTGTGCCTACAGGTGCTCAGCCTGGGGGTGGAGGGAGTGAACAGGGGAGAAAGCTATAGTAAGGGGTGGGCAAGAAGCCTGCTGCCAAGCCTGCCCTGAGAGGCCAAGTAGGAGACCCAGGGCCCTTCCTCCTGGCAGCTTCCAAGAAGATGGCAGTGATAGGGAGGCAGGGGAGTGACTCTCCTGAGGTGCAGAAGAAGGAGAAGAGGAGAGGAGCGTGGCCACCAAGAATACGGCCAGGCTCACGTCACTGTCCCCGCTGCCTCCTGGGCCGTGGGAGGGATGAGTGTTGGAGGGGGGCGTCCTGGCCTGGGGGAGCCCTTTGCATCTGGTCCTTCCTCCTTCCCCTTGCCTCTTCCCTCTGCTCCCTCCCCCCATCTCTCTCCCTCCTGCAGGTGAGAAGCAGCCTGGGCACCAACATCCTCAGCGCCATGGCGGCGTTTGCTGGAACAGTCATTCTGCTCATGGATTTCGGTGTCACTAACTGGGTGTGTTGTCTGATGCCCCGGGAAGTGGGGAAACTTAGAGAAGGATGTGGACACATCCAAGAAGGGGAGGGAGGCAAGCATTGGTGGTACCAAGAGACTCAGGGGTCTGGGTGTTGGCAGGGCCTCCCAATCCCAATAGACCCCATGAGTATAATGACCCTTTGAGCCTCCCCCAGGAATGGGGCATCCAGAGAACAGAGAGGCAGCCTGGTAGAGTGAGGGGGGCACAGCACTGGCAGCAGGAGGGCTGGCTCCAAGGGCGCCTTTGCCACTGACTCACTGTGTGGCCTTGGGCAGGTTACTTCTTGCTCTGGGCCCCCACTCTTCCTCTATTCTAGGGTTCTTGGCTTGTCTTGACCACGAATTTTTGGTTCCCAGGATGTGGGCAGGGGCCATCTGGCCATGCTCACCATCTTTACCATCCTGGAGTTCTTCATCGCAGTCACTGCCACCCACTTTGGGTGCCAAGCCACTCACGCCCAGGCCAACACGGTGAGAACTCCCACCCTCACACCTGCCCCAGACCTGGACAGACAGGAAATCTACTGGCTGGGGAGACTCTCTGCTTCCCCCCTCTCTTCTCCTCTCCGGGAGGCAATTTGTAGGGACTGGGCTGCCATGAGCTTCCCACTCTCCTACATTAGGGGACCCCAAAGAAGTCTAAGGTCCCTGGGTGGCACAAACGGTTTGCACTCAACTACTAACCTAAACGTTGGTGGCCTGAACCCACTCCACGGGCCGCGGAAGATAGGCCTGGAGACCTGTTTCCATTAAGATTACAGCCAAAAAACCTTACGGAGCGCAGTTCTACCCTGTAACACATGGGATCGCCATGAGTGAGAGCGGGCAACTGACAACAACAAAGAAAGTCTTTGCTGGTTAATGAAAATGGGACTATTCTCCTCGTGGCCACTGGGGGGCGCCAGCACCAACGAACCAGCTACTCCTTGAGGCTGAGCCGACAGCCTTGATGCAGAGCCCTTGAGGGCCTGGGCACAGGGGTGAGAGGGTGTGTGTGAAGGACCCTCTAGGAGTTCACAGACCATGAGGGAGACGGGGCATCAGGAAGGGCAACATGACTGAGGTGCAAATTGAACTCGTGGTGTCCAAGAAAATGGAAGACAGCTAATATGCAAAGAGGGGGACACCCGCATCAGGGGAACCAGTTGAAGCAAGGGCTACCTGAGGTAGTAAAATGCAGGTGGGGTGTGCTGGTGAGGAGGTACAAAAGGTGGAGTGGGGGTGACTACTGCAGGAATCTGAGCAGAGGCACCAGGTAAGTAGAGCTGGGTTCAGGAAAATCAGTCGGAAGGTTTTGTCGAATGCAGAGGTGGGGGGAGTGCTGGAGGCAGGGAGGCCAGAGAGGAGGCCAGTGCTGTGGTCCTGGCAAGAGATAACGAAACCCTAAACTGTCCAGGAGCAGTCCAGAGAGAAAGAACACCAGAACATCAGCTCCTAGAGAAATGGGACTTTTTTCTTCACTGCTGTTCTCCAAACGCTTGGGTCATAGCTGGACCCAGTAAAAACCAGTTGCCATTGGGTCCATTCCAACTGATGGCAAGTCCCTGGGCAGTGCAAACAGTTAATGCACCGGGCTGCTAACTGAAAGGTTAGAGGTTTGAGTCTACCCAGAAGTGCCTCAGAAGAAAGGCCTGGTGATCTACTTCTGGAAAATCAGCCATTGAAAACTCTATTGAGCACAGTTATATTCTGACAGACCATGAGGCCCAGATAAATATATTTTGAAATATTGGTTGAATGCATGACAATCCTAAGTCAAACAATTCAGACTTGCAGAATTCATTACTAGGGCGCTGTTCTCAGAATTTCCACAAGGAGGCACTATTATAACACCTCCCTAGGTTCCAAAGAGCTCCAGACTTTCATTGATGAGATTTCATTTTCTTTGCAGCCTGTGATTTTCCTGCCAAATGCTTTCAGCACAGACTTCAACATCCCAAGCCCGGCAGCCTCTCCACCCCCTGCCTATGACAATGTGGCATATATGCCCAAGGAGTGTTCTGAGTAGATGGTCACTCATGGGGTTGGAGCCCAGCCTTTCCCCTCTGGGCCCAGCCTCCCCCAACCCCCACCCCATTAACCCAGGGGAGGGGGCACCTTTCTTCTGTCCTGTCTCCCCTCCCCACTAAATCTCTGCATTTTGTGACATCTGAGTGAAGCATTACCTGGTGACAGTCTGTCCCACACACCCCTCCCCAGCGATTTCTTTCCCAAAAAACTACAGAATGATATCCAGGGTGTGTTTTCTTATTTCCTGAGCCCATCACCCTTCCACGGAGTGCCCCTTTGTACTGCTTTGCACTTGTCCGGTCATTTGGGGCAAGGAGGGCTGGTGGGAGAAACCCTGGCTCCTGGCCCTCACCCACATGGGCTTGGGAAGGTCCTTTCAGCTCAGCAAGCCAAGACTGCTACAGAGAAGGCAGGCCTCTGCGAGTTCTGAGAACTAAGTCTGACCCTGGCATTTCGCTGAGGTGCAGAGACCAGGCCCTGGTCACACAGCAAGGCAGTGGGACTGACCTCAGCTCTCCTGGCCCCAAGACCTGCTCTGTCCTTCGCACTCTGCCACCACGTCTTTGGGCCTCAGTTTCCCCACCTGTAAACTAAAGCCTTGAACCAGATGGCCTGTAAGGCCCGACCAGGCCCCACAGGCACCTGGGGCCAACAAGAGGGAGAGGCTACAGTAGGCCAAGCTCTCCTGGGCTCCCAGCTGAGTCCCAGGGTCAAGCCAGGCATCACCTCCCACTGGAAACCCTCATCTTCCTTGTTGTAAAATGGAGCTGGTATTGACTCTGGCCCTGGCCGCCTCCTGGGTTAGGGAGGTTGCAGGGGAGGGATGGAGCCAGCCCTCTTCTCCATCCACCTCAGTCAGCATTTCAGGGTGCACAGCAATGGTGGCCCTCTGTCCTCAGGCTGCTCAACACCCCGGTGCCTTTCAGCACCCCCTTCCCTACCCCCACAGCCCCGGGGTGTAATCGCAGGAGCTGGGCGGCATCTCTGGAGGACAAGGAGTCACCTTCAGCCCTGTATCCAGAGCCCTGTGGATGGCGTGTCTTCCATACCATAAAAGGGAATAAACAGTGTGGTTGAACTTTGAGCTGGTCTCATTGTGATGACTTTTTCTTCTTAACCTCAGGGGCTTCTAATGGTCGTCCTATGTTTATCAGAGGATATGGGTGACTATCCCTCATCACAGCAAAAGAGCACCCACAGTGTAATCCTTGCACTCATCTGCCCTCACCTGAGAGCAGGCATTAGTGTCCTGGTCTCCTAGGACTGCCGTAACAAATACCACAAACTGGATTACTTACAGGAACAGAAATGCATCGTCTCACAGTACTGGATGTGAGGAGTCCGAATTCAGTAGTCAGCAGAGCCGTCTCTCTATGAAGTCTCCAGGGGAAGATCTTTTCCTGACTCCCCCAGCTTCTGGGTTTGCTAGGCACTCCCTGGCTTGTAGATGCATCGTTACATGGCTATCTTTCCTCTCTGTGTCTCTCTGTCTCTCCTCTTTTATAAGGACACCACACAGGTTGGATTAGGATCCACCTTATTCCAGTATGACCAGGTCAACTGACATCTTCAGAGACCCTATTTCCAAACAAGGTCACGTTCACAGGTTAGGACTTCCATGTCTTTGTGGGGATACAATTCAGGCCATAATAATTGGTATCCCCACTCCACAGCTAAGAACACTGAAGTTGAAAGAGGTTGAATCACATGCCCAAGGCCACCAAGCTAGTAAGAGGCAATGCTGGGATCTGAACCCAGCTCCATCTGACATCAGAGTCTGTGATCTTACCACCTGGGCTCCCATAGTCCAAACCAAAGCACCTTCCACCACTCCTTCCCCTCCCTCCTTCTGCCTCTTCAACCCAAAGACTGAGGCAGGGCTGCTTCTTCACTACCCCCACGTCTTCACCTAACAAACTCCTGCTTCTGCTCAAAATCCACTGTAAATCTGCCTCCTCTGTGGGGTCTCCCCAGTTCCCACTGCAGAATTAGACCCTTGCTCCTCTGGGTTCTCAAAGCACTTGGAATCACTTTTATGTTGTGTGGAGGTTGTATCGGAGCCCTGGTGCCAAAAGGTTGGCAGTTCGAATCCACCAGCCGCTCCTTGGGAACCCTAAGAGGCGGTTCTACTCTGTCCTGTAGGATCATTACGAGTCAGAATCAACTCAACGACAACGTGTTTCATTTTTATTTGTCTTGGAGGCTATATTGAGTGCGCACAAACACACACAGAAAAGGTGAAAGGAAAGGCGAAGTAACTGACTAAGTGGCAAGTGAGGCACCCAGGGCTCAAAATGTAGGGAGGCATTCACTATCAGATTCATCCAAGTATAGGGTTGGGTAGTGTTTTAGTCACCTAGTACTGCTATAACAGAAATACCAAAAGTGGGCACTTTTAACAAAGAGAAGTTTATTTCCTCACAGTCAAAGTAGGCTAAAAGTCCAAATTCAGGGCGTCAGCTCCAGGAGAAGGCTTTTTCTCCCCGCCGGGCTTCTTCTCTTCGATGCTCCCCCTGACTAGGAGCTTCTCTGCACAGGGACCCCGGTCCAAAGGATGCGCTCTGCTCCCGGCACTGCTTTCTTGATGGTACAAAGTCCCCAACTCTCTGTTTGTTTCCCTTTCCTTTTATCTCTTGAGAGGTAAAAGGTGGTGCAGGCGACACCCCAGGGAAACTCCCTTTACACTGGATCAGGGATGTGACCTGGGTAAAGGTGGTGTTACAATCCTACCCTAATCCTCTTTAACGTAAAATTAGGATCACAAAATGGAGGCCAACCACACAATTCTGGGAATCATGGCCCAGACAAATTGATTTACACATTTTTGGGGGGACATAATTCAAACCGTGACAGGTAGTGTCTTAGTCACCTAGTGCTGCTCTAACAGAAATACCACAAGTGGATCGCTTTAAGAAAGATAAGTTTATTCTCTCACAGTCCAGTAGGCTACAAGTCCAAATTCAAGGTGTCAGCTCCAGGAGAAGGCTTTCTCTCTCTGTTGGCTCTGGAGGAAGGTCCTCATGATGCATCAGTCTTCCCTTGGTCTGGGAGCATCTCAGTGGAGGAACCTCAGGTCCAAAGGACGCACTCCATTCCTGGCACTGCTTTCTTGGTGTGAGGTTCCCATGTGTCTCTGCTCGCTTCTCTCTTTTATATCTCAGAAGAGATTGGCTTAAGACACTATCCAATCTTGTAGATGTCATCAGTATAACCTCATCATAGTGACAGAGTTTACAACACATAAGGAGATCACATATAACCTCATCATAGTGATAGAGTTTACAACACCTAAGGAAATCATATCAGATTACAGAATCATACACTACTGGGAATCATGACCTAGCCAAGTTGATATTTTGGGGGGACACAATTCAATCCATGACAGGTAGGGGTTACAAGGAGCTTTGGCTTTGAAAATTAAGACAGGAGCCTTGAGGATTTACAGTTAAGACCATAAAGTATAAAGTCAGGGAAAATGTGTTTGAGGATTGTTATGGATTGAACTGTGTCCCCAAAAATATGTTTCAAATCCTAATCCCTACACATACAGATATAATCCCATCTGGGAACGGGGTTTTCTTTGTCAGGCTGTATCAGCATAGGGTGTGTTTCATGCCAATCACTTTTGAGATATAGAAGGAGCAGATCAGGCACAGAAGCAAGCAACCACAGATGGGGAAGATAGGTGCCATGCCACAGGAAGATCACCAAGGAACTGAGGAACAGAAGCTGAAAAGAGGCAAGGGCCTTCCCCAAAAGCCGAAAGAGAGAAACCTTCCCCTAGAGTCATCCCGTGAATTCAGACTTCTAGCCTCCTAAACCGTGAGAAAATAAATTTGTTTGTTAAAGCCACCCACTTGTGGTATTTCTGTTATAGCAGCACTAAATAACTAAGACAAAGATTTAAGACCTGTTTTCCTACCACGTTCAGGAGATTAGAGACATTTCTGACCTGAGGGGGGAGTTTGGAGGGAGAGAGGGCGGGAGAAGAAGGAACACAGAGCTTAGCCTCAGCCAGGATAACCGCCCTCTGTCCCCCATTAACTAAGTCCCTCAGGAGGTGTGGGAGCCAAGAGCCGGAACACTTCCTCACATCCCAGGATGTAACCTGAGGGGACTGCAGCCCCTGACAGTGCCCCGTGTCCAGACAGCGTGGAGCCAGGACATAGAGTAGAGAAAGCTGAGGGCTGTGCCTGTTGACACCGAGTCCTGCTCTGCAGAGTGGTGTGTAAGTAAAAGCATCTGAAAGCTTTCTGTGCCCCTAAGAGGGAAGCACAAGTGGCAGAGAGGGTCAGTGGCCAGATGGGTGCAATGCAGATTGTATGAGACCGTAGCTTTATAGCAAATAAAAGCAGCAAATCAGAGCAGGGACTGTGGCTGTCACCTGGAGACCAGGAAGGACAAACTATACCTCAGCAGAGGCCAGAAGGACAGATAATGGCTTGTGGATTGGAAGTCAGTACTGGGAATGACTAAGGAGCCCTGGTTGCACAGTGGTTAAAGCACTTAGCCGCTAACTGAAAGGTTAGTGGTTCGAACCCGTCACCCACTCCTCAGAGAAAATTTGGCAGTCTGCTTCTGTAAAGATTTACAGCCTTGGAAACCCTATGGGGCAGTCGTACTCTGTCCTATAGGGTCTAACTATGAGTCGGAATTGACTCAACAGCAACGAGTACAGTGAATGAGTTATCGTGAATTGGGAAGATTAACTTTTCTACTATTCAATGGGTAGAGTTCCTGGGTGGCGCAAATGGTTAAGTGTTCAACTACTAGCTGAAAGGGTGGTGGTTCAAACCCACCCAGAGGTTCCTTAGAAGACAGGCCTGGCGATCTGCTTCTGAAAAGGTCACAGCCTTGAAAACCCTATGGAGTAGTTCCACTCTGCATACATGAGGTCACCATGTTATTAGGTGCCATCCAGTCAGTTCCAACTCACAGCGACTCTATGTAGAACAGAACAAAACACTGCCTGGTCCTGCACCACCCTCACAATCATTA